CATCATACTGATAGAACGTGCACTGAAGATTAACAAGAGCGCAGAGTACGTCCTCTGTTTGGACAGTATCCAGGACGTTGCACGTGGCCTATGGCCAAATTGCTACATTGTTGAATAGACAGAGATGAAGAAAATGGGTTTTAAAGAAGAGAAACAATACCGTACAGACCATGTAATAATTATTAAGATTTATTAGAAGAAGCATGTGTGTGTGTACGTGGACTGGATGCCCGTATAATCATACACAGAACGACCTTGACGGCGATCATTAATGCTAGCAGTTTTAAAGGATCTATGTGTACCTCGGTTTTGCCTGACTTTCCCTTATTCCTGTTTAAGACCTTGGTAACATTGGCAACACCGCGTTTAACTCCAAATGGTTATCTTGTAATTTATATGGCGGAGTCAAGTCATATGACTTTCGGCTGAGGAGACCTTTGTGTCTTCCGTTCATCCTTTTCTCTATTATCCGCGTCAAACTAGTCGAATAAAAATCCTGATATCAAACGGAATTATGAACAAAATGTGCGCCACAGTCGCGTTTCGTTCTGGAATATACAGGCGATAGGGGTTCGAATTCAGAGTGAGATTGCATCTGGCTTCAAATCAAACATACGAGCGACGCACGCTAGTATTCCAGGTAATGATAAGTGGTTGCGGGTGAGAGCAAACGACCAGTGGCGTTCTGACGTAGTGGCTGTATCCTATCACTACACTTTCACAGATATGATGTATCAGTTCTCTTGCTGTCTCATCTTAACTCAATGCTTCGATGAGAATAACGTTGTATCTCTTCATGGCTAGCTTGCTCTATTGGTTTCCCGATGCGCCATCCTCTACGCCTTTACCTGTTTTTTTTGGATTATTGGTTATGTACGTTTACCTATATACACCTAGCTTAGCTGCTCCGTCGGCAAATTACAAGCCACAGCTGTTGAACCGTTTGGTAGATGTCGTCAGCCTAATTTTGCAGGGCTCTCGCTATAACGGTGCATAATAGTCTCACATGCCATTTTGTGTTACCTTCATGGCTGGCGGGAAAACAGTAAAAACTATTTTGAGATTCGGCTCAGTTGTGATGAACGAGGCTACCTCCCGTAGGAATTCAATCATGAGATCGAAGTGTGTGTCGATCGTCGGTCGATCACTGACCTTCTTTAACAAGACGTTTATAGTAAACCTAGTGGCTGTAAAAGCAACAGCAGTAAGACTGAGGTACTAATCTTCGTTCCAAATTACTCATTATCTGTGGCATTCTGAACTCTGTGTGTTACTACTACTGGAATCCTTCTCACCGTGCATGCCACCTACCTAACCCATTGCGCTGGTTCATGGCACTTTATCAATTTCTATTGGATTCAGATCTAGCTCTTATTCGTCGTCTTGTTCCTAGTCTCCCTCATTACCTCTCCCCTCGCCCCACCTTTGTTAGCTAGACGTCGCAGCATTTAGCAGTGGCATAGGAGCTTGTTACATCTTTTTTCCGGTCGGAGAAGCTGTCTATGGGGCCCACTTTTCCAATAGCCTGTCCCTTCGGTCCGCCACATTTCTTTTGCGTTTTGTCTCTTTGCCGGATGCACGTTCATTAGTTGGAACGACGCGAAGTCGCGGCGGCTGAAACGTTCCACTCCCATTAAACTGCTCGTTTCGGCAGCGGTAGCAGGCAAAACCGAGAAGTGTGATACGAGCATGATCGTGACCGGAGTAATCGCTTCTTCCTGCTCTCGCGCCGGTTCATCTCTGGTAGTCGCACAGAAACAGAAACGCGGCTCGATTTCAAAGGTTTATGGTACGTAAGCCGGTGCTCGTCTTTGTTTTTCTTCTAGGAAAATCGGGAGGGAATGAGAGCCAGCCAATGTTAGCTAGTATGGCCAAGATACGACCAACTGACCCGAAACAACATTCCGAAGACTCATACGGGACTGAAGAAACCGCCAGAACTGGGCCGACGAGTCTTTCTGCCTAATGTGGTATATCTGCCTTACCCACCCAAGACAGACCTTACGCTTGCGTTGCTATTAAAGCACAAACGATAGGAGTGGCGACGAAGGTAAAATACAACCGCTAAAGATGGTCTAATCTCGAAATATCTACCGGGTTTGAGCTGGCGTGAGCAGAGACTATCGATTTTTTAGTGTTTCACGCCAAGGCTCAAGGAGCTATTGGTACTATTGGAGGCTGCAGAAAAGAGATCGTATCGCGTGCCTATATAGTTACCGAATTGTGTGTACGGTACAATGATAAAAAAACCAGCCAACCTTCTAACTTTTGTTGCAATCACGACTGCTGCATTGCTTCATCAACAAGCTATTTCACACAAGCGGCGACACGAGTAACACAAGTGGTAGCAAAAACAACTTTCGTACCCTGATAAAACAGAGAAGAACTAGTATTGGCTTCCTGCGGCAAGCATACAGGAAGTAGCGAGCCGGCTGTTGCTTTTGCAGGAAAGAGGAAAGGCATGTGATTCTGGAATGACCTGGTTTATTCATATTCGAACATAAAGCGTGTCACGGTGTTCAATATGACCACACGTGGCTGTCTGCTTGCATTCGTCTATGGATGGGAAGTTGAAACGGGGAGCAAATCCTTGGGCAGGCAAGCCGAGGGTGCCCAGTAGTCACCGTAATCCACTTCAATTTCTAGCCTGAATTTAAGGCCAAACATCTTCATCCAGTTCGATAACAATTGCGGTGCCTTTCGGTTCATGGCCATTTCACGCGCCCTTTGGTTGTATTGCAAATTGCTGACCTCAGCCATGTTCCGCTGCTGTGATATTTCTGTATTAATGTCAAATATCCGCCCGTGTGCTTCCGTCGATTATGTACTTGCGACCAGTGCCTGACAAGTCCACACACATAAGATTTGGGTATCCCGTATATTGGGGACTTTCAATCTGTTTATGATGTAGTCGAGCAACACGTCCTGTAACATGCAACACAATTAGGCCCAAACTAATCACATGCGTAATCTATTTTACGCGACCCATGTTAACATATGATACTAGACCGCCACACAGAGGGATGTGAGCTGAAAAGAGTCGGGTGGGGAGAGTTTGTGCGCGCTACTATGGCAATAATTATGTGTCTATACCATTACAATACATATACATCCGCCTTTACGTTCTGTTCTTTTTGTGGTGCTTCTATGTGATTCGAATTAACTTGCCAACTTTATTGATCACTAATTAGACTAGTTAAGGGCACGGTGACGCTCTGAGTGGGACAACCAGCAGGACCCATTGATACAGAGCTACTTGGTTACTTCATTAGGTTCTGCTGCCACCGCTGCCTGAGAACTTTTTGAAATCGGTATCGCTGGGTAATAGGAAGTTGGTGTTTTTGATGGCATCCGTTGCTGCTAAAGCGGTACTATGGCATGTGCACGCTGGTGGTCCTTCATAGAAAAATTGGTCAAGTTCTAATGAGACGGGGGATGTCGAAGGTGGGCGGACGGGCGCGGGTAGCTCTGTAGCCATAGCTCTACATATTGTCTAGCTAACCTAGAAAGACCAACAGAAGAAAGAAACGACATGGAAAACGAAGGTCATTAAGAACAAATTCGCAGAATTGCACGAAACCGGCGGTTTACGCGAGGCGACAAGATCGCAGCAACGGTGATGGCGAACGTTTCCGAGTTTCTTCGGTTTCGTTCGGCTTCAACGACTGCGTTAACTTGCGCGTCACTAGCTGCAAAAGTGTAATGGCAGGTAAAGAGAGCGCCAGTCAGCAGGATTCGTTTATAATTGCGTCGTAGCAGCGCCAGCCGGGGCTTCAGCAGTAACCGTTACGCGACAGGGTAAAATCTGTCTGTCTATTTGTATGTATGTGAAAAGCGAAACAGTCGAAAAAACCCAGGCGAAGTAACGCACGATCGATCGCTACTTCTATTACTACAGTTTTCATCATTACTGCCAATAGCAGCTGCTGGTACAGCAATACTAGCGAGATAGTCATAAAGAAAACGTCAGAACCGCACAGAATAAATACATCGAAGAAAACTCTATGCTCATGCTGTTCGTCAGGGTACTAGTTTTTGCGGGGAAGTACCGAGCCGTTGTCTTTTGTGCCTTTCTCCATCTTGCACGTCTTCTTTTACAAGAGAAACAGAGCTCGGTGCTTAGCGTGCAGCCTCGGCCTGGATCAGCAATCCCAAGTCGATGGCTGTTGGTCACTAGCGTTGCTGTCAGTCGAAACCTAACACATTTATGGCTTTGACCAGCACGAGTGATTGGGCAGAGCGAGAAAGAAACAACGAAATTCAATGGACGCGTCTGCAAGATTCGTTGGATTCAAGGTGTATGCTCGGTGATGTAGTACGTACTTTTTGCATCACTTCACTACTCTCTTGGCTAGAGGAGGAAGAGGGAAAAACGGAGTAGGACAATTCGAGGTGATTTCGAAGCCCGTGGGGAGTTCGTTCTCCGATATGGGAACTGCGACAAAGTGAAGAATACTGCTGTCGACGGCGGTTGTGGCTATAGGGCAATGCCCTTAAGGAGAAGCCATGGATTTGTGGCAGGAGTCGAGAGGAAAAAGGTCGCAGATACAAACTGTAAGGTAACAGAATTCATTGACTGGAACGACATTTACTTGTTTTCGGTGACGGTGACGGTAACGATGTTCAATAAATAGGTGGCAAAGGTTGCGTATAAAGAAAAACACCAGGTATGCCAAGGGTAGCGCTTCGGTCAGAGTAATGCCTATTCAGCGCTGCGTAGAATCCTTGTAGCGCGTGCGTGGACAACTGGGGATGCAGATATCTCTGTTCGAAATGCCTTTGCTGCGTACAATATTGCGCTGAGCAGATCGCATTTGGGTCTGCTTCGTTTATTTAGTGAGAAAGGGGCATGTGCAACATGGTTTTAAACCTATGTATGTTCTGTCTGTGGTAAAATATCCGATTATGACTAGATATGCTATTTGTGTTCACGATCTGATAGTATATTCCCGTACCTTTAAACTAATCGTCTTTTTCCTTTCGTCTTTTGTTCATCACAGGCAATCTGAATCGAAAACGAGCTCGCATTGTCTGTGGGCAAAAAAGAAAGTGACCCCATTCACCAACAGGTGGCCAGTTCCGGTAGGTGGAGAAGCTTATTGAGCCGCCGCCAGCTGAAATTTCAATCAGCTTCTAAAAGATCATCTAGAAGAACCGCAAAAAAAGAAAAAGCAGATTAATAGAGAATATACATTGCTAATAGCTGCACACCTCGACACTACTGTAGTGTTAGACGAAGTAAGTTAGGCAAAAATCTACGTTATTACTCCCACTCGCCAGTACAATTGTGCATTGTCAACGACGACAAGTGAAAGTAGGGAGTTTTTCAAAGCGTTGCTCTGGAGGGTGCGCTGCCATTTTCATTGTATGGTTGATACGTACTTTGTGTGTTCGCGGGAAATTCAGAGTCGTTGCCAAGCAACTGGGTCAAGCGCGAAGGAGTCGGCGAGTCACAAAAACGAGCCGAGTGGAGTACACAGCCCAGTAACGGCGACGCCAACGGCGACGATCATTAATTACACCTAACGCCTCCTGCGCCCCCTTCTTCGACGAGGAACACCGTAGGGGCTCTCCGCGGCACGAGCCTGCAGCCCTCATTGGCCTGGTACCTGTCGTGTGCAATCAGACCCCATCAATCGCACTGTAACTGCCACGAACGGGCGTCGCGTATCGCGAAATCACCGTCGCAGACACACACAGATAAACACGGTTTTCTTCTATATTTTGACGCCTCTCTCGCAGAGCGTGTTGCTACTTCTGCACCGTGTACTCTTCTTGTGGCCTTGTTTTTTTAATTGTGTGTTTGTGTGTCTGTACCTCACGCCTTTTTAGCTCGCTCGACGTTATCTTTCCTGTTGCTCTCTCGCTATCTCTGGCCCACTTTTCGTAAACACGTCGCTTTGGTTGCCTTCATTATTGTCCTAGTTCTTGTTGTCCTTTGTGCCATTGTACATAACGTTGTTCTGCGCATAGTGTGTGCTTAACAAAAGCACGCACGAACGCGCACATTAGCGGTAAACAGTTGTGGCCCAGTGTATGGCGAACGGTGCAACCGCAGCTTCAGCGGTGGAGCAACTAGGCTCGGCGGTGATGGCCTCGCAGGTGCCGGTGTTCCCGCAAGTGCCTGGCGTCGGCGTTGGTGTCGCTGGACGGCCCGTGACAGGCGTCGGAGCAGCTGGATTCGCCGCAGATGCACGCACACTAGCTATGTACACAGCCATGCAGAACTCGGCAGCAGTCCAAGCGCTTCAGGGGGGCATCTTTCCGGGCGTGCCACAATCAGCCGCCGGACCCGCTCAAGTGGTAAGTACACTGAAGATTCCAATGTGTACTAGGTACTACTTAAAAACCTTGTAGAGTAGACATTTTTTAATACGTTAGCTCCTATATCGAGCTTTCATTGCATGAGTTACAGGGTAAAAAACATAGGTGTGCAGTTCACTTTTTCAGGATTTTGCGAGATCTAATATACTGGAAAACGATGTGGTCCTATGTCTTTGGACAAGCAGATGTTATTGCACGTTATGCCATGTAGGTTGTGTATTAGAACACTGGGTACAGGCGCTTGTATATTTCTCCATTGAGGAGGTGCTAAAATTTCAGGTGTTATCTTTTTATATCTAATTGGCTGCAATATATTAGGAATGCAATTGCAATTCAAATTAGGTCAACTTTAGTACAGGATTAGCAGGGTAAATTTAGGATTTCGAATTCAGGTACAGAATCAAGTGGCCCATACGGCCAGATAATGGAAAGGGGAGTTCAGGTATTGAACAGGTAATATAGTAAGCCAATGTTAGACCGAATGTATCAGAGTGAATATTTATTTTAGTAAAACGTGTTTACTAAGTCATAGAAACAGGCTCTTAATAAAGTTATCTTTACTTCTGTAATTCGTGCATAGATCCTTCTAAAGTTTTTATATTTATAGTTGTTATATCACTAGTATTTAAATAATAACCTTTTCAAATAACGTAATACTTAGCAGAAAACATATATTAGTCGGCGAATCGGCCGTTATGCACAGGTTGCAAAAGAGCGAAACGTGGAACCTGTACATAATACCAGTTAATTTTGACGTACAGAAGATATAATGAAACAACAATGATTTTGTGATGAAATCCGTGTAGGTGTATAAATATTTCTCATTGTATGTTACCGCTCATATCAAATACCTTGGTAAAAGTGATTGTTTCCGTGGGATGAGAAATCGCGTCGTTGCACACTTCCTAGTCCATCTCTTTTTTCTCTCTGTGTACAGCTCAACACATCCAAACCTATACTGACTAAACCTAGTGAACGACTTCACATGTATTACACAGTTGTAAATAGTTAATTCATCGAAACTGCATGTAGGCGTAAATGTAAAAAGGCGTAAAAAATATCGCTCTCGTAAATGAAAAAAGTTTGAATGAAATTATTTAGGTCCTCGGGCTAATACGGTCTGCTTCCTCTCCTATTTTGAGACTTCTTGGTAAATTAGGTTGATGCTTACAATTTACTTTTGTGTAAAACATCACCCTGTGTTTTTTAACTAACCTGGATAGGTTGGTGAACAGTGGAGTCTTTGTGGCAATACTCGTGATAATCTATTTACGCTCAAATTTTATCATTAAATACATTGTGAGCAGATAAGAAGGCTAACTCATTGCTAGTTTAAAAATGACTACTGTAGGACTGGTTCTCTCTAAAGCCTTTTTGTTAACCTTTTTCCCTTAGTCTAGTTAGCCAAACTTATCGACAGTTGCAAAATGTACATCTACATATAAAGCTTTATTAGCGTTCCATTTCCCGTCGGAACGACCTCACCTGTTCTGCAGATAGTATACGATCCATTATTAATTGGTAGGCAACCGTAATGCACACAGGAAGTGGTCTTCTGAATGGGCATACAGGTCAAGGAATTGCAAAAATTTTCTTTCGAAGCTCTAATTTCGATATATGGATGGGCAAACCAGTGTCGGTTAAGGCTGTGGAGGACCACAAGCTACTACGTACAAGTTCGTTGTGATAAACATGTCACTATTGCACACATGAGTTGGTAAGGTGAACGAAAATCTTTGTTATAAATAGTTGTTCATCCCTTCCCTGCTGTGCTATCCTTGTAAATGGCTTCACTGACTTTCCGTTCTTCTCCAAGTCCAGCTCGACGAAGTCAGCTTTACCTTATGGTGTTTTGCTGTCGTCTTTCCTGACCGTCAAGATTTTCTATAAGGCTCTTTATGTGATCGGCTGATCGCTGTTCTCGTGAATAGCTGCCATGTAGGAGGGCTCGCGCCAGTGAGTATTTGATTGATGCGCTGGTGCAAGGGAAATTTCCCGCGAACGCGAGCTGAAATCTCCGAGACAATAATCGCAGCAGCAGAAACGAAAGAACCAGGGTGGAAAGCAGGGTTTTTTCAACTCTTTGCAGTTGCAACTTCTCTTTCTAGGGCTGCATACAGCCTCGTTCTATACGCCCGTCGTGGCCTCGTCCTGCAGCTGCTGGCCGCTAGTAGAAAAGGCAAGCAGAAAAGTCAGAAACGTCTCTGGCATTTAGGCCTTAGTGATCCCCACAATCAAAGGTAGGACTATATTCATAGAGTTTCTGCTCATTTTGCAGGGCATATCGCCTAGCTACAACCCACAGCCGATAGAAACTATTGCGGCATTGTTTTAAAGCAAATCGAAATAGCCTTGGGTAAGGTCGGTAGAGCCCTCAAGTAAAAATATTGTCTCATTGTTCGAAGTCAAAAGCAGAAGGCCCAGTCGGCCAGAACGAAACTCGAAAAGGGGACCCAATTCCTAAGAGTGAGGTTGGCTTGGCTTTGAGACTTCGGCTATTCAACGGCACTTGACTGGAAAAGTTGTAGCTTTTAGTGGCTTGTGTACTAAACTTGTGCCGTCGTTTGTTAATTTCTTACCCTTCTTTTTGTGTCATGCTCTCATTCGACCTAGTCCGATCGACGTCGTTGGACTGCTAGTGTAAAAAAATATGACTACTAACTAAATAGATAATTAGAGAGAATCCAAGGCACGGTCCGGAGTATGCCGTTGGATTCGACTAGCATATAATTACTATGCCAAATATATTTACCTGTACGATAGATAGTTTAGCGTGTAGGTCCTCGATTTCTAAATATGCAGGAAGTCAGAGTTCCATAGTAGACGTGAAAGAGTCGTAGCTATTTGTGCGTTGATGGACCGCTTCGAGGACGTTTAGCCTAGAGAGAAAACTGAGAGTTTTATTTGATACGAACGGCTGGCATCGGTTGAATACGAGCGAAGGACACTCATTAAGCTCGTAAGCTGTTCTGCGTTCGCCGTTTTCATCGACAGATGAGCGAGGAAGCAGCCTTAACGAAAAGCAGTGACCTTCCCGAACGCCAAACTTTCAGCTCCTCCGCTATCCCGTACCGCTACTAATATGGGCAGTATTAAGAGCTTACAGCCATGAGTAGGTTTTAACCGTCTGTGTCTATTATTGATTCTTTCAAACACTCCTGTTCCTACCCCGATTTTAGTAGGCTTGAAGAGAAGGCCAGGACAGGGTGACCTTAAAAGGATAGTAGCCAGTCGAGTAAGGAGGCACATGTTTACTCTTACCACTACCCTTGCTTCTATCAAGTTCCATTGCATTCGGATGGCACGTCTTGGCTCATAAAGTTCTGCCAATCCACTGACGACGGCAGGACGTCGATGGAAGTTGCAAATTCCCAAACATTGATGCTCGCATGTGTGTATATATAGTGGAAAGCACCTTACGATCATTTGTTCAGGCTGTAACCGAATAGATTCGAATGCAGGACAGTATTTGCTGTCCACTAACTAGTATCCTTTGTAGAGGCAGATATGCAATCGGTACCCGCGGGCGTGTATAAATGCTCGGCGTCTTTCGCATGGTAGAGCGGCGAAAGACGGAACGCCAAAGGGCTTCTTTGTTGGCACAGAAGGAACACCGCCCAGCCACTACCTCCGCCGCTGCTTCAAAATTGCCCCAATACTCGTATGGATCTATGTTTGCCGCCGCTGCTTCTTGGTGCGAATCAGAGTTTGCAAGCAGCGCCAGGCTGCATAACTCCTTCCTTTGCGCTCCGCCGCTTTCAGGTCATTTGTTTGGGCGTTGCCTGACCGACCCGACACTTCCGGTCGGCTTCGCGCCGGAGTGGACGTCACGGTGATAGTCTACATTATTGTGAGTAGTTCCATTGTTTTGCTTGTGTCATTGGGCAATGGAGTAACTTCCGAAAGGGGTTTCCGGGGTTGACTATCTTGTTGGCCAACAGTTATTGTTGCCTAAAAACTTAAAGAAACTCAGATGACGTTACCGATCGTCGAAGGTAATCGACTCAGACAGGCGATCATCAAACAAGAAAAAGATTACCACTTGTTAGGCGGCAACCAGCGGAAAAGCGGCCCAACGTTACGGGAGGTAGAAGAATTGATAAGTGTTGTGGACGCAGCAAATACATTTACGAACGTTCCGTGACTTCGTGCCGTTATCTTTTTTGATTAAGTGCCCGTCTTCGGCAAATGTTGCGGGTATTTGTCGTTGCTTCTAGCGCGCCTCGGTCGTCTGTTTTAGGTTATTCTGTATTATAAGGCTTTCTGTACTCAATAGAGAGTCAAATTAAGTCTAAGTAAGTACCTATAATGTTGTCTATCGACTTTTTTTGTTGCTACTTCTCTTGAACGTCTTGCACATTTTTACGGTACTGCTGTGCATTTTTTGGTATGTTATCTTGCAGATGCACTTCAACTTTCCACTACCCAAGTATGTCGAACTGATGAAAACTTCTATAGATAATCGGAGCCATTTGCATAGTGAAGCATAGCTAGTGCACTTTGCGACGGTTTTGTGTCCCACTCTGGGTGTGTATGGGTCGTTCGTCATAGTTCAGTTCCCCCGTTTTTTTCGAACCCCAAGTAATTCGGATCAAAGCCGAAGTTGCTCGTCGGCCAACGTTAAAGGCAGTTGCCGTTTAAATTTGCAGTCTCGATCAATTAGGTCCGTTCTGTGGCGAGTTTTTTCTACTAGGCGTTGACAAAAGCGGTCCGGGTTCCGGTGCCGTCACAATTATGTGCCTGTTTTATAAATAGCCAAGATTAGGCGGTGGCGACTGTAGCTGCTTTGTTATTGTAGTTCACAATATGAAACTAATGTGATTGGTCTGCGCGCATATCTCTGTTACAATTATTTCCACTATCATAATTTGTCTGATTTTGGTTTGCGGTGTTTTATCGCGACAAGATCATAGAAGCACGCGATAACTGGCGGAGCAGCGCTGCCACGCTGTGAAAGACCTTGATAATCAATGTATATA